CAACGCCTGACGTGACACGGGGCCTCAGTTTTTAAGGTCTCATCCGAAGGACCCGCAACTTTCACTTCAAAGTGCCGAGCGCATGGCGAAGGAACAGTTGCTACCCGTTTTTTATCGACTTAGGTCAGTCGCGGCCGAGATTCGAACTCACGAGCTCCCGATCACGGAGCGAGCGCTCTACCGACTGAGCTACCGTAAATGGTAGTAGATGTTAGAAAGAGAGAAAGAGAAGGAGATGAAGAGAAATTACTCCAGGTATATAGCTCCATGAAAGACATTATAAACTTGTGATTGCAAAAGAGATGCAATATTTGAAAAGTAATTTTTCATGTATTGTTTTCAGAGCAGCTCAAAGCTGAAAATTTAGAATTAATACAATTTCAACATAGTGTGATTTTTACCCAAGCTGATAAAACTGAACGTTTCTTTTTAAAAAGTAGGCCTATGATAAATAGCTAAATCAAGGTGATTTGAATAACAAAATCAAGCTATACCTGTATACCTAATTGAACTACTGAGCTAAATGGATTTTTTTTTATTATGCAAGATCTTATCAACTTTTAACCATTCTTAAAAATATTTAAACCACCATCCCTGATTCAATGGAGAGCTAGGCATACTAGGATGACCAAAAATTTAATGATCTTTTGACTTAATAAACATGTATGTTGTGAAAAGGTCAGTCAATAATGATGATTTGTGGGAAATGGGTTTTAATATTCATAAATTCGAGAAGTTTTCTACAGTTAAGACCATGCAGACATAACGCCTTCCCCTTTACCCCTTTTCAAACCCCCTGGTCATTCATGTATACAAACAAATACCATGTTTTGACATATAAACGAATTGTGAATATACATAAATGTACATGTACACAAAGTTTAATGGTGAGTTTCTAAATGATCTTCATTTCTAATACTAGGGGGTCATAAATGAAAGGGGAAGCAGTTTATCATTGATGCACTTTTGACCCAGGTCATATCGTGTTTATTCCCAGTTTAAGGGGTTAAGATGACTTCCAGAGGGTCATAAGCTTTATTATATTAAATGCATAATGACACAAAGAAGAATATTTTATGTATGGTTAAGGGTAGAAGTTTTACAATCATTTTCAAGATATATGATCATTTGAAGTTTCAGGGGGTGGGGATGATCTCCGGGGGTTCATAACTCCATATACTATTTAATCTGTCACAATTTAATATAAAGATGGCTTAGGGGCTTTTGATTTAATGAAAGTTCTTTCATTGATTCTTGTTTCAGAGAGTGGGATGGGGAATGACCTCAAGGACTTTCTTCAATGTCTAACTTGCATGTGGCATCCAATGATCTTGACCCTTTTTAAATAAAGGCCCCTTACCAATTTGATTTCAAAATATTTTACCCAGTTCTATACTAAACATTTAAGATAATATATTCATAATGTACTTACCGCCTGTTATAGGCAATGCTAACTTCATAAAATAAGAAATTAAATCCATTTAAAACACACTTTGGATTCCTACTGGTAATAATGATGTATACACCATGAGCAATCCAATAATGACAACGGTAAAAGTAGTGCTCATAGTGTGACGTAGTTCTAACGCCAGTCGCGGGTCTAGAATTTTTCTAAAAAGGTGTGCATATGTAAAATTTATATTATAATTACATACAATTTTTTAAACATAACTGTATTATCTATTCCAAATATGACAGGAAAACAGTTGAACTGAGAGTGTGAGTTGATTTTTGACAAAGTTGATCGGATGTGATTTTGGAAAGGGTTTTTTCCTACCCAAAAACTGATAAAAGTTTGCACAATTCGATCATTTCCGAAAAGTGTCAATTTGGAATCTAAATTTAAAAAAAAAATATTACAAAATATTCTTTCAACAATTCTCTCTTAAACAGAATTTGCAACATTAAATTCTGTAATAATTCAGACTTGTAATGGATTAAGTATATCAAATATTTACATAACGTGCACATGGACCACACGTTTCCCTGAGCATTTTATGTTTTATGCTCGATTTAAATTATAGAATTATTGTGGCCTCTTCCTTGGTTAACAAGATTTGGAGGAGGGTGCATTTAAAAGCAAACAACATAGTGCGGGTATTAATGTCTTATGACAGCATCTAGTTAATGTTGAGTTTTATGAAAATAATCTTGAATAGATATGCGCTTTTCTAAAATGTTTAATGAAGAACCATCATAAGTATTCGTTTACTTTCAAGCGAGGTTTGCCTGGAAAAACCCTTTGAATTTGCATTAAGCGGGAAAGCTTGCTCATTTACATTAACAGACGCAAAAGTTTGGTTTGAATCAGGTACTTATTTGAGATACATCAGATTAATAATTAAGGTGCATTCAAAGAAAATAAAAAGATATAAACCCCCAAAATACATGAATTTGTAATGACTGTTTTTACAGTGAATCGCAGTAAAAAGTATTTTCTTTTTCATCTTTATTAAACTACTGGTCAAGTGAAACGTGGTGATGGATCAAATTTAGTAACATGTGATCTCATTATGTATAACCTAGTAACCTACTGTTCGCTTTACTAATTTATAGAGTTTGGGATTTTGATAATTTAATTTTTCTATTTAATTTTTCAGAAACTGACATCTGTTCTAAAAAATGCCAAGTAAAAATCAAAAACCTAGAAAGTGGAGTATGGAATTTTTACGGACATTACACATTCCTTTATCAATTGACATCGTTAGTGCTTAGTTTCAATAACTTAGACGAAAACTTAACGACAATCCAAGGGAGATGTAATTCTTATGTGCATGATGAAAAGAGAACCATGGAAATCATTTGTAAAACAGTTTTCGAGAATAGTAAGTGCATATAACGACTGATTCATGAACAAATCATAACTATGTAATTTTTTTGTAACAATCACTCCTTAATTGATTTTATTTTATTCTTCAAATGAAATGAAAGAAAGTCTTCAAAGTTTTCAATATTGGTGTTATTGAAATAATTTTTTTTATATCAATAGGCTACAAATTTAAAATCAAAATATTCATCTACTTTACAAAATAGTTCAAATTTTTTTTGTTAACTTGCAATGAAATAACATATTTGAAAATGAAGTTATGGGTTTATATCATTGACTTGAATAATCAACTCATTTGGTGGTAACTAGACATGTTAAGGTTCCAAAGGTGCAAGGGAAACACTTATTTGAAAATGGTAAAGTTGGTGAAGATAAATTCAACAAGTATATGAGTAAGAATTTTGTGAAAAATCTATGAACCCTACAATTAGTCTTATCAATTTACAAGCATTCTAATAGAGTGACTATTAGAATTATTGAAACTCTGAACCGCGGGGGTTGGAATGAGGTCACGATAGAGAGAACATAATTTTATATATTGAAAAAATCTTAAACACTTTTCCGAAGAACAGCCTGGAAAGAATTGAAATTGATGTTCATTCAAAAGTTAGTTTATATTCAGGATTGGTCAATGCTTCTTAGATCAAAGTTTGGCATTGAAATAAAACGAAAAAAAATGTGAAAAAAATTTTCTTCAGCAGGATCACGCTTAAGGTGATGCAGTTGAGCATCATAGTCCATGGGGCTATCAGTTATTCCTCTAATAAGATTTTACTAACTTTTGAGGGAAATCGCAATGCAATATATGTTTCAATTGTTTGTGTTTTTTCTTGATTTTTAAATAAAGTTCAATCTTATCATATAATTCTCTTACAGAATATTGTCTTTTGGTATTTGTTGAGTCCCAAGAAGTGATTTCTATCATATTTAGGATTTCGCTAACATTCAACATCATGGCGACAAATTTTGCATTAATTGCTTATTGCAAAGCTAATTTTCAAAAGAGAGATTTTGTAATTACTTCATTACTTAGAGAACTTAGGATCAAAAGCAGTTCAATGAAGGAATTTCAAAACGCAAATGACTATCACATTTAATTACTCTGTAATCCAATGTTATTCTGTAAAGTACATTGACATCAAAAGTAATAAAAAATATTTATCACATGTTTACACCTTCATCCAGTGGTTATCACACAATAGATAATTTTTTTCACATTCATCATGTTGCATTCATATGGTTCACTTGTAAACAAATGCACTTGCTCTTTTAAAACATTAAAACTTACATTTTCAACAGTAACATAGTGTAATTTATCCATTTAATAAAGGTGCAACAAAACTCTTGATTTTCAGTCCCTTCAACAAGAGTGTTATCAAAAATATACTTCATGTTACAAGATAGCAAGAGTAAATAAAACATCCCGACAGAGACTAAAACTGCCAAAATTTCATCAAATTTCCATGTTTGCAATTTTCTTTCTCACAATCGATTGTCTACGACGTCTAAAAACCACTCAGCTACGACGTCACAACCATATTCCACTTCGGTACGAAAAGACACAAGCAAAAGAATAATCAAAGATAATGATATAAACAGAAAATTTAGTATTTCGAATATGGTGTTAACTTCATTCGTAAAATAGGATTTAATTTCAATTTTGATTTGCACTTAAGAAAATCAAAAAAAAAAAAAAAAAAAAAAAAATACTTTCTCATCCGTGAAGTGAATTCCATTTCCAATATGCAAGTAAAAAGCATTCAATATCTATTTATTTCATCGTTTCCTTTTTTTTTTTATTTATGTGCAATGAATATTGTTGGCAGTTAACGTCTCAAAAGATTTATGTGTATCAAAAGAGTGCTGGGATGTATTCAAGACATGTTGGCCATCACCGAAAGGACAAATTGGTGTTTGTGTATGCAGTCGTAGATATATAGACTTCGGAAACACGTGTCTGAAGGGTTAATATAGGCGCATTGACACCAAATGCACATGTTTATTAATACACTCACAAATATTTCAATACTCTGTAAGTTATTTTAACCATTTTTACTAGATATTTTTAATTATTTTAATCATTCATTTTCTTTAAAGGATAGTAACATTTACAGATTTGTGTAAGTTTTGCCAATGTTTTATTTTCTTTTGTCTTTCTCAGACAATTTGAAATTGAACGAAAAGTGCCAGAGGAATGAGCAGTGTTCTGTGGTATTCGGATCGGTTTGTCAGAACAACACATGCGGCTGTAGGCAAGGATATGTCCCCTTCAATGATTCGGAATGCATTTCGTGTTGGTTCATTTAAATTCTTTATTTAATTCCTTCATTTAAGATTACATTTTGAACTCATGTTGTATCATTAAAGAGGATTTTTTTGGGGGGTGGGGGGGTGGGGGATGGGGGTGGACTCTCTGGGAACAATAGTCAGAGGACTACAAAACAATTTAAAAATCCGAAAAGATAACACGAAGGGGTGTATAAATTTTACACTTTTAAAAATTAAAATAGCATAAGAAATTTGAACTTGAGACTAATCAACCCAGACGCAATTTGAGTAAAATAAGAAAACGACATGCTATCATAAGATGGTGATTCGCGCACTTTAAACCTTGTCTACTTCATACCCCTGGGTAACTGTCGTCAAAATAGTTATTACATGATTTACATTTACATTTATCAAATTGGGTAGCAGTCTGCTCAAACCTCTTGTTGTAGTTGTAGAAAAAATTCCGGTGTCCATTTGGTCCCTATAATAAAAAATAAATCCCGAAACCTTTTTGCACATCTATAGAATACAGTAAATGATATTACAAAATATGATTTAGGTTCTTATCAAAATGCGTGAGGGAACCAGGTATAATGAAAATAAAAACACGTTGTTTTTCTACTCGGATTGGCTCTCCTGAAAATGAAGAATAAAACTTTTTTTGTACATCAATATTTTACCACCAGTAATATTGTAAAATGTGATTCATCTAACTTAAAACTTTGAAAGGATTTCTAGGAACCAGAAAAAAAACCCGTGGATTTTCGACCCATATTGCCCCCCCCCCCCCCCCCCAAGGATAGAAATGATAATTCCAAAACCCTATTGCTCATATATTGGACACCATCAGTCATACAGATAAATTAGCTAATGATTAAAAGCAGATTTAAATATAAGAGGAATTTATGGAAGAAACTTATCATAGTGTGGCAGACGGAAGGCCCAAGACAACAACAATTGACTTCAAGTTTCTTGAAAAAATACGGGAGTAATGTTTCACGATATTCGAATTAAAAGAAAAACTTATCAATATAAAGACTGAGTTTTTATTTTTTGTTCTTATTTAAAGAAAAATAGAAAGATTTAGCTTAGAGGTTTGCAACACCAAAGTTCGTCAAAATATTCTTTCTTGTGAAGAAAAATGTGAACAAATATTTCAATATGCCAACTCATTGAAACCAATAAAAATATTTTCCTCTAATGTCATTCACAAAATCTTTATTATGACTGCGAACAAGCAAAAGGTTCTTCAGTATTCATTTTTCTCCTTTAGTATAAATAATTATAATTTTGCCAGAAAAATTATCTATAAGTCCTGATAATTTCATTGTACCGTTTTATTCTGTGGCTGATATCGACTTAACAACAATGGCATTATTTTTCATCGCTTTCTTTATTCGTATAAAATATCACTTATCTTTGTAGTAGACATCCTTAAAAATTTGTGTACATCAACTAAGGATTGTGAAGATGTATCTAAGAGATGTTTATTGACAGGAAAATTCGGCGTTTGTGTATGCAAACCTGGGTTTATAGGATTTGGAAACAAATGTTTAAAGGGTAAATACTTATAATTTCATCTATATAGCAATTCCCGGCGGCATTGTGATAAGAGGGACACAAGGTCATGATATAAATGGCTTCATCATAGACATTATTAATAGAGATTAAAAATATTTTCAAAATCATACATAAGTATGACTTTCTCAAACAAATACATATGGTTGTATTTCAACATGTTATCAATTTCAAAAGTTTTTAAACTAATGCTAAGCTTTAAATGATAAAATGATCTATCCATTCCTCTGTTTCTCAATACTCCGCGCCTTACAAGTATTTGACGTCATAAATGTATCTTTTAGTGAAGCAAGATCAAGGGCGTGTTACATGTAATTATGCATCGGTTGAATATATGATAGAAGACTATAGTGAAATCATGGTAAGGTATATAGTGAAACAAAACACAATCATGAATCTTATAACAATTCTGATTTGCGGCAGGTATATCGATGTGTTTATATACAATCTAAGTTGCAAAGACTTTGTGCTACGTAAATGTCAATATAGATCTATTATCATGCATGGAAATTGTGCTCTGTTTGTAACTAAAGTAAGCTTTACGTCTAGATGTTGCTATCCATATACGTATTTAAAATCTAGTTTAATTGAGAATTTTGAAATATTGAATGATATATTTTTAAAAAAAGTTTTCTTGCACTAGAAGTACGATTTTGTTTATGCAAAGGTTTATAGAAATAACAAAACGCCTATTAATTTAGTTCCTACGATATCTTGCAGAACATAATATCATAAATGTGATATTTGGTCTTGGCGGCCTTATGCTAGGCGCTATTGCCACTGTTCTTGCAGTAACTATCAATCATCATATACGAAAGGGAAAATCCAAAATTGAAGAGAAGTATGAAATACTTTAGTGTCTACAGTTTATATGTAATTTATTCATGTGTTTTCTCATTCAGTTCTAGCGTTTGTTATTAAAGTTTAGAATTGAATCAAATCATTTCACATATTATTTAGAGAACGCCCAGGGGTTGCTAATGTGAACAACGCTGGTTTGGAGATTGAAATGGATGCAGTTCAGAACATTCCCACGGTTCATTGTACAAATGAGGTAAAAATTGTTCATTGTACAAATGAGGTAAAAAAAAAAAGAGGGTGAGCGTTCGGAATGCTCGGCATAGGGAAACCAGCAGCTTCAGTCTCGTCGACAGAAGCGGAGTCATCTTTCTGGAGCAGCTTTTCTGGATCATCCTAGAATATTCTGAATACACAAGATCCTTTTTGCACTTTTTCACTTTCAGTAAACAAACACTTTAAGCACAGAAAATGCGTTAAAAAGGGAAAAAATGGAATTAAAAATTTTCCCTCCCTTTAGCAACAAATAGTTATGATTGTCATAGATAAATCTAACTTGTTATACGTGTATCGAGATCAGAGTCACATACCATTCAAATCAACGTATTCAGGGATAGTACTACTAATACTACTTTGCAGAATTATGTATCTTTATTTTGTTTTGTATCCGCTCCTATTGACTGTTCTTGGGCTGCTAATCTAGATTGTACTGCATCCTTTTTCAAAATTGTCAACTGACGCGTCAGCGGAGGTTTGCCATGCTTTCCAGAACGGTGAAAAATTTAACCGTTATCCTTCAAAACATGATGCATTTTATTCCTTTTAATATTGTACTTTAATCTTTTAAAAAAATAGAAGAAGTCAAACGTATTTTATAAAAAAAAATTGTTTTCTAGGGAAAATATGGAAATTTGCTGCCATTTGCTCACTCTGTTAAATTGTCAAGAAAGAGAAACGCCCAAGAAGCCAAAACACGTTCGATGACGAAGAAGGAGGAAAACGGTGACATATACAATCATCTACATGAAAAAGAAAATGATCCTGACATTGATGAGATAAATTACGACCACGCCCCTGAAAACCTTTGTAATGCGATGGGAGAAAGTAATTACAGTAATCTCTAAGAATAAATAAGGAACCGTTTCCGTTTCTGAGGATAATGATAATGATGTCCAAAAGGCAGCTGGTGATTGTATGATAAGTGTTCATGGAAAACACAGTAAAGAATGTGTATATTCTTGACAAAGACAATGTTTTTTATGCTTTTTATTGCCTTTTATAGTTAAGCTTTAGAAACCCTGAAAACAACAGTACTAGTGTGTTAAGACACTGTTTCTTTAACATTACTGTTTGTTGCTTTTCTAAGTTAATCTTCAGAAACCCTTAAAATAGCATAAAGAAAAACAATTATAGTTGTGTATTACTTATTGAAATGTATTCCGATCGACATTTGATGTAAGGAGCAATATGTTTCCCTGTTCATATGACGTTTCAGTGATGCCTTTTATACATCTTCTCATAGCAGTCTGCAGTGATGTTCAGACAATACCAGCCAGCTCAGAAAAGTGACCCAGACATGTGCTGTAGTATACTTGTCTTACACACAAAATAATAAGTTTTTATTGTAACTAGTCTCTCTGATTTATGGTAGCTATTTTTACTATTTATATAACTTTAGGTCATCACACTGTCTTTCTTTATCAGTATTAACATATTTTTTTAAAAATCGACAAATTGACTACCATATGTACTACAATGCTTCTTGATTTTTGTTGATACTTAAAAAAATCTTCAAAATGTGGCCGAATTTCCCTGTTATCGCAATTGCAAAAGTAACTATAATTTGAAGAATTTTCCCTAGAGTAAGCAACGTAAGATTTGTCATTCGAATTGGGAAATCTCATAGTTTCTTCTCCTACGTTTAAAGACGCAGCCTATTATTCATTTTGCGTATGATTTGCCTTGAGATCTAGAGGTGCAGTATGATTTTAAAATCTAAAATTTTGTCCAGACTAATATCCATTATATTATTGTTATGACACACAAGGGGGTATTATATTGTATTTTATCAATTTAAAGTTCACGATGTAATACAGATATAAAAATAAGTTTTATAATGGGGCATAAGGAAGTAAAAGCAGGAAATTTTCTCAATAAGATAAATGGTTCATTTGTTTACAACCCAAGTTGGGTTGCTCGGAGTGAAAAACAGATTCTTTCTATGTACAATACTTCCTTGTTTTTAGGAGAAAAAATATTAGCACGTGTTTTGACTTGACAGAGTAAGAGCTCTCAATTGTTGTTTGATCCGTATGAGCTCGCAATGCATTTTCTTTCTGTTACATGTACTTTAGTCAAACTGTAATTTGAATGAGTAAACAAATATAACATTTATAGCAAGTTAAATTTTTTTTAAAATTATTTTTATGGAGAAAATGTTCTCATATAAATTCATTATTTGAAAATTTACAAGAGAAAGATCCCTTACTGCTGGTCTATAAATTTAAAGACCTTCAACGTTATATGGTGACGTCTCCATATGAGTGAAATTTCTCCACTTGCACTTAAAACAGCATACAATCAATCAATCATTGAAAGTTTGTCCTAATGAAAAAGTGTGTTTTCATTATCAAGTATATTTTACTAAAATTGATTATTCTAGGATTTCAACTATCCTTTTGTTTCTGATTGTTTGAAAAAAAATCTACATTGGAAAATTACCATTGCCTCTAGTACTGTTTGTGTTTGTATGTGTATCTTTTAGGGATGTCAAAATATTTATTTTCCTTAGTCGATTATTCGATTGCCTTATTCGAACGATAGTCGAATATTCGGAACATTTTCTGAAAATAAAATTTTATTTGAAACTTCAGATACATGGCAGTCGCCCGCGTGGCGCAGTGGTTAGAGCGTCTGCTCTAGAGTCGCGAAGTATGGAGTTGCTCCTAACGTCACGGGTTCGAATCCCACTGTGCGACGTGGAGACCGGTCCTTCGGATGAGACCGCTTAAACCAAGGTCCCGTGTCGCAGTAGGTGCTGGCACGAAAAAGATCCCTCACTGCTCAAAGACCGTAAGTACCGAGTATAGGGCAAAATTTGCAGCTCTCCACCGGCAAGTGGTGGCGTCTCCATATGAGTGAAAAATTCTCGAGAGGGATGTTAAACAATATACAAACAGACAAACAGATACATGACATATTTATTACTCAATTAAAACCTTTTTTCTTAAGTCTATTGAAAAAATAAAATCAAAATGAATGCAACGTAACTAGTGGATAGCATGATTATATGAAATAAATTTAGAAACCTTATTCTCCAAAATGTATGATTTCCTTGTCAATTGAATTCATAAATCGGTTTGTACACGAAGTCAGTTTTTTTTAGTAACATTTAAAATTGCCAGCCGATATTTTTTAAATCTTATTACGTAATAAAATTGGGGAGGTGAAGGGGGGTAAGGGGGGGGGGGGTGTCTCACAATTTCCACAAGTCAGGTGCCTGTGAAATTTTTAAACAGTTAGATACCGCTTATTTAATAATTGATTACTCCTGCTATCAAAATGGCCTTATACATTAGAACATGCCACAGCTATGTTCCTTGCATTTGAGCAATCTAAAAATAACAAAAGATAATTGAAACATGAAATAAGATCAAGTCCAATTAATAACTTTACAAACAAAGCCAGTATATTGGTGGGAAATTTATCACAAAAACAACACGTTTGTTATTAATAAATAACTGTCGCAATAGTGCAGCACTTACATTGACTGTACTTTCTATACGTGTGTGGAAAAGAAATGTTGAGGAAAATTATCGACTTTCTCTGAGGAAAGACGGTTTCTCAATTTTGTGATGAGAATTCCATCTTGTCATTACTCTTTTATTGCACATATTTAATTATAATAATATTCGAATGTCGTTTCATTATTCGATCGTCGGTCCATTCGACTGATAGTTGAATAGTCGACTATTTGTTGATATCCCTAGTATCTTTGTGTGTGATGGATTGTAACAAATATCGTAAGTCATTCGCTATGAAAACTTTGAAAGAATGTCAAACTCTTTTGACTGTAGCTCCTGACAAATCGATCTAGATTTCAATGTGAAAAATGATCCAGTGTTAAATGAAAACTGATTATATTCTTAATCCCTCCACATTTTCCAGAAAAAAAGATATTGCACACATTCTGTAAAGTGGGAACGTTGACGATGAGAAAACTGATGAAACTGACAATTGTCTTACAGTCAATGTCCACAATCCCTCAAATATCTCATCATTATTAAAGAGAAATATTTACACTAGAACATAGAGATCGATTTGCAATCTTCAAAAGTTTTCAATGAAGAAGCGGTTGCACTTTCAAGGCGTTAATATTGTACGATTTACTAATCTGTGGAAATTTTAAATAAACTCTAAATATTTCGTTCAATTAAATGTATATAAAACATTTTGTCGGAGTACACCATCCAGACTGGTTGTGTTTCATAGAGGTCGCTTTTACTTTGAATCGATTTGTTTTAAACTTGAAAATAAAACATGTAAGATTGTTTATATATACGACTTAGTAGTTAAATGTTAGTGCTTATTGTTTTTCATTTTTCACTTTCATTTTTAGTGACTCTATAAAAATTATATAAAGCACTAAACAAATGTCAGGACGCCCTTTCCCTTCCCCAAGACATATATCTATATATAGTGTTAGATTTTATTTGAGTTAATTGATTGAACAAAAGCTATTTTTTTTGTTACCATCAGTGTATTTTTTTCTATTTAAGGTTTTGCCAAAGGTCAACATGGCCAAAAATATAGTTTTACAATTGCTCCATAACTATGTGGTTTATAAAGTTAAATTTTTTACAATTTATAAATATATCATTGATTAACAGATGAAAGTATCACTTGATAACAAATACTTTAAAAAATATTTATCGAGAATTTTTTTTAAAAAAAAATGCATACATCTTAAAAAAAAATACACCTAATTAATTCCGTACTTTAAGTGAAAGCCATCATTGCAGAAACAATATATGTTTATCAATGAAGGGCAAGTTGGACTTCAATAGCCTCCGGAAAGTTGTTTTCCCTGTTTATTTTGTCCAAATGTTAAGATTTGAAACCGAAAGTACATTGCAAATGGCGGATTTTATAGGGGTCTTGTCTTTATACATGTCATGCTTTCAATAATCAGTCTTTCAGAGACCATTCACGTCCAACTTGCCCTTCATTGATAAATATATATCATTTCTGCAATTATGGTTTTCACTATAAGTACAGAGTTAAGCAGGTGTATTTTTTTTTTAAATGCAAATTTTTTGAAATTTTTTTCTCAAAAAATATTTTTTTAAATATTGTTTTCAAGTGATACTTTCTACTGTTAATCAGTGATATATTTATAAACTGTAAATTTGAAATTTTAACTTATATCTCACATAGTTTTGGAGCTATTGTAAAAATAAATTTTTGGACATCTTGACCTTTAGCAAAACCTTAAGTAAATTTGGCGATATTACAGTGTTCCTTTAGTCTTCAATAACAGCTGATCAAGGCAATTAAAATGTTATCAGTAAAATGATATTTATGGCAAGGAAGTGATATATAGAGTCCTATGAAGCACACTTTTAAAAACATGCCAGTTTAATCCACTCAGTGGATGACATTCATAAAGGATTTTAGAACAGAGAGTTATTTCGTTCTTAACGAACGTTTTCCTTAAAATGGCGATATTGAAATGTGTAGAATGTAAGTACGTATGTCTATCTTTTGCAATAGATTCTATTTTCAAAAAAATGGTAAGAATAGATACTGGAGTGATCACCGTATCTAAGTCTGTTTATTAAGATACCACTGACACTGGGAAAATGCAATCGTTTTTTATGTTAAGAAAGTTTCATATTTATTTATCCATCCGTACTTGAATATCACAATTCAAAAGAGCTACCAAAAATTTTGAAGCTAGCACTATTAATTTATTATCTTTTTAGCAAAAGCACATGATGGACTGATAACTATGAAATATCTTTGTTTTCTGGTCATGAGATGAACGCAGGGAGAGTATGCTCAATCGTGCAGTAGTACTAGCTTGCTGGGTTAACCTGTAACTCAATCGTTTAAATCATAAATTTTGAATGTGAAGGGTTTTAGGTTCAAGCCATGTTGTAGACACTCGTTAGAGTCATTAGCTCAGCTGGTAGAACATTGGATTATAAACCACTGGATTGTAATTTTGAGTAACATCGTGCAAACCTTTAAGTTAAACAGTCATAGAAATACTTGAATGAACCTATTCTCGTTATGGCCTTTCTGTTGCATTTTCATATTGTTAATGTAATAATTATTTGTCAAATGTACGCCCATCTGAACGTCTTTCACAAATGAAAGAAAAAGTGAGCAATCTCACATACCCCACGCTCCTCCAAAACTCGACAATGCAACACGTAATGAATGGTACAGTGCATCTTAGATACACAGTATAATTCAAAAAGGGGCATTACTTGCAAAAAAAATCATCACATCAAAACTTCTTGCATATAAGGACATTCAAATCTTTGTATGTTACAAATTATGAATTTGTTAATAAACTGTACTTATGAAATTATTTAAGACAAAGCACCAATTTGAGAGGGGGGGGAGAGGGAGAAGACCTATCCAAGGTTTGTGTGTGTATGTGTGTGTGTGAGGGTGTGTGTGTGAGGGTGAGGGAGGGTGTGTGTGTGTGTGTGTCAAATCATAAATATTTTGATCTCAAAATCAATAGGGGTCTTTTAAGGTCATAAAATATTTCACGTAAAATTTCATTACATAAGCTGACTCCAGTGTATTTCCTTATTACTTAGCTCGAAAGTTTCTTCAATAATAGGCAAAAGTCGTGAGGCAAAAATAATGGAATCGGAATTTCCTGGTAATATTCACATCTATACACTGTGTATTAAATATCTGCAAAGTTTAACCAAATTCTGTTTAAGAGGAGTTGCACTAACAAACTGTTCATCTCTATATTCAAGATATGCCAAAAAATCTAAGTTAAAAAATGACGAAATTCCCAGAAAAATAATGGAATCAAAATTTCCTGGTAATATGCACATCTACACAATGTGTACTAAATATCTGCAAAGTTTGACTATATTCTTTGCAGTGGTTTAAGAGGAGTTGCGCTGACAAACTGTACATCTCTATATTCAAGATATGGCCAAAAATCTAAGTTGAAAGTGCCAAAATTCCCAGGAAAAAATAAAGGAATCGGAATTTCCTGGTAATATGCACATCTACACATTGTGTCCTAAATATCTGCAAAGTTTGACCAAATTCTGTGCAGCGGTTTATGAGGAGCTGCGCTGACATACTGTTCATCTCTATATTCAAGATATGGCCAAAATTCTAAGTTGAAAAGTGTC